TTTTTTTTTTTTTTTTCAGACAGTGTTTTGAGAGTTCTTCATCAGGAAGATTGATTTTCTTTTTGACATTTTTTTTTTTTTTTTTTTTTGGCCTGCTCTTTTGGGCCCAGGGGTTGGTAGGCTAGTTGTTTACTTTAGATTTGGTCACTCTGAATACCTATTCTTCCTCTTATCTCTGCAGTGGTATCCTCTCCATCTGCTCAGTAAGCACTAACAATTTTCAGCCTTATCTTTTAAGACCATCTTCAGAAGCTGTTTTGTAAATGTTTTCCTAAAAGTACTTGGCACTTAGGAAGTCCAGCTGAAAAACCATCTAAATGAGATTTAAGGAGAGACTGCAGAGAAATGAACATAAGCACTGCTGCCTTTTTCTTATGTAGAATTCTTTTATTTTCACTGAGTTTTAATCACCTCCATCTATGAAAAAACAATGAATTGAGAAAGGCAGGGAGATGAAGTAAGAGTATCTATAGCTTCAAGTAAAGTGCATTTACATGAATTTACTCCACCGATACATATGTAAGCTGAATGCTATTAAAGAAGGCATACATGACCTTTCATCCCAGTATCTTTATGAGCAGCAGATGTAATATATAATAAAGATGAATGAACACAGCTCATCCCTGTTACTCTTTCTTATTTTCAAAAGGTACCCTGAAATTAGATTGACCACTGAGATTGACTGTTCATTTGGCTGAACACACCTTCAAGCAGGCATAGCATACCAACATAATGTAAGTTTGCTCTATAAGACTATTAATACATTGTAATTAACAAACAATGTAATCAATCATCTGCTTTACTGCTGCAGGTCTTACATATGTTGACTTGCCTGAAGGAAGGAGACTAACAGCTAAGGACACTGCATTATCTAGTTCATCGTCTTTACAGTGACAGGTGCCATAAATTATAGAAAACAGGAAAAAGAAAGCAAGAGCTGATCAAAATTCCCCCAAAGCTTGTGAGAATTACAGCGTTTTCATCTACTGTTGAATTATGGTGAAGAAGATCTAAAATTGCCCTGTAAAAGGAGTTGAATATCAGTTTAAATAAATTTCTAAAAAGGCTGCTCACCAAAGTCTCTTTAGGAAGTGGTAATTGGAAAATAAGGAAGCTTTTCATGTGGGTGAAAACTGGTTAAATCAAAGGAAACTCAGAGTAGAAATATATGGTCAGCTTTAAATGGAGTGAGATCATCACTGAAGTCCCACAGGGACCTCTGCTTGGGTCAGTGTTGCTCAACAGAGAGATAAAAGAACAGAAAAAGGGGTGGATGACTGGTAAAGAGGCAAAGTTCTCTGATGATACTAAATTATTCAGGACAGTAAAGACAAAATTTAACTCACTGGTATCTCACAAGCACATTCTAGTATTGATTGAATAGGCAATACAATAGCAGCTTGTATTCCATGTGCCTAAACGTAATGGGAGAGAAAAAATAAAATCCTGTACCATTATGTACTGATGGACTCTGAGCTGACGGCTATTAAAAATGACATCTTGAGGTTAAAACAAAGAACTTCATAAGAACATCAGCTCAAGACCTGATTCTGGTCAAAAAGATGAATTAAAAAGAAAAAAAGCAGAACAAGGAATACCACTACATTGCTGCATGAATACATCTGAAGCATTGAACAGGAAGGCAAGAGAGAAGGCAACAGTCTATCACAAGGATTCCCACACCCTTTCAGCCACCTGACATTCATCAGAAATCTCATTTGTCTTTAGTCACTGACATTTGTAAACAACTCGTGACATTCAGGAGAAGAATCACAAGAGTTAAAAATCTTGATTTTGCTCATTCACACACATGAATGAAGATTCTTACTGATAGGGAAAGAGTCATACTGAGAAGTAAACAAGCAAACCACTCCCTCTTGAACATTTATAGAGGGCAATACACTTAAAGAATTAATAATGCAGTGAGAATAGCCATAATTTCAAAACACATCCTTTTTCTTGGGAACACCTGTAATGACGTATAGAAGCCAAAATGACTAATTGCATATATACAGCAATGTTGTTGTGTACAAATAATTGTGAGGACAATCCACTACGTAATGAAAAATTTTTAATTTGTCAAATGCAAAATATTGTTAATACAAATCAGTACAGAGGAGATTTGATCTGAAAGTTAGCTTGTTTTACAACTGTGATCAAGAATCACATAATGGACTATTTCAAAACTTTTCTTCATTTTTATTGTTTACTATTGGGCTCTATGGATTAGTGAGGAGAGAGTTAGCAAGGTTTTTTAGCAAGGTATATTAAACTATCAGTCAGATAAGACACACAGGAAAATCCTACAGAGTAGAGAGTGTGGGAACAGAGGAAACTGCATCTTAAAATAGAGAAAAAAATAAATAAAATTTAAGACCACTGATAAAATACCCATTAGACTTATTGTAAGAGTTGAATAGCCATTTTCCTATGGTTTCTTACTGAAGGAGTTAAATCTCTTCACTGATATGCTGATGACCTATCTGATGAACTATAAAAGTAGCTGGTTGGAATCTTATTTTTGGGAGACAAGGTATATGCCTTCGTATTTGCACTTATTCCACATAGGCCTGTTATGTTAGTACCATCAAATATTATTGATTTCTGACAGAAACAAATGCAGCATACTGATATTTCTGTTATTTATTTGTAAAGCTCTTATTATTTTTATATGATTCCATATGAAATTTACACAGTAATGCCATCAGTGAGACATTTTTTGCAAGAGCTAAAAATCACCTGGGTGGACTCTTGCAGTCTTTGAAGTCTTTATGAGGGGAATGAATGGGGAATGCATAAGAGTATTATTACATACCAGCATAAGCTAGGGAGGAATCAGTTCCACTGTCACATTACTTAGGGCAGGACATTTCATCATGCTGCCAGGTGATGGTGAAAGCTGTTGGCTTTCTTGTAGAAACATTTTTGCCAGGCCACAGAGGCTGGAATTTAGGGCAATAACCCAGTAAGGACAAAATTTAACTATAGAAGGAGGATCTGAGGGTTAATTTACGGCCTGCAGTAGAGAGAGGGAAGAGAAGGTCAAGCTAGTGAGCATCTAAATTATAACATCTACTCTTAGGCCTGAACTAATATCTCTAAATACTGCTGTTTCTTACCACAGAGTTACCAGGTATAGGTATTTTTGCAGTGTGTCCTGTTGTTTCATCTTGGGTGAATTGGGTCTCTAATCTGAAGATACAGTCCTTTGTGTTGATCTTAAACCAGTTAGGTTTGCCATGGTCCTCGCTTTGAATTATTTCAACTCATCAACAAATCTGTTGATGAATCAGATGAGTGTTCTCACCATGAGTATTAGAGCTCATCTGCCCCCTTATTAAGCTGGTCTTGGGAATGAAGGGGAGAGCGCTGAGGTGAATAGATTTTTTTTTCCTGCTTTAATACCCTGAAAACATAGTGCATTACCTGGCAAACACCCAAACACATTATCAACATAAGGGAAGAGAAATAAGAAGTGGAAAATGATCATGGGGCAGGGCCACAACTGCTCTGGCATAGATTGGTTTACAGTGCCAGGAAGTTGCATCCTTCAACTCCTATAGCCATGTTAACACAGCAGTTTAGATCAGTGTTTCATTTTCATTGTACCCTTTCACCATGCTTTGATTATCATTGTGGAATAATTTCCATGCCCAAAATGATGGTGGATAGATGGATGGTTTGGATGAAATGAAGTGATAGTTACACTCTTAATGCACTCCAACCATGACAGACAGTCAGTCCACAGAAGCAGGCTGGACCTAGAATGAAATCTTCCCACTGGATGAAAAAAAGGAATCTTTTCCCATCCACACATAGATGTCATGTCTTCAACACCAGCTCTTTGGCTCTACAGATCTGCTCCTGTTGCACTGGGTGGTGTGCTACCAGTGTAGACAGATGCAGATTCACCCTTCGGAGAGAGGGTAAACTTGGAGAGAACAGGGAGAATTTTGTTTCTGGTTTTGGTTATCATCTCTGAAAAATAACTATCCTATATCATACAACCAGATTTCTTTATCCCCAAACGGGAATTCCTTATTTAAATAATTACCATTACATTGGCAAATTAATAAGGCACTTAATATTAGACAGGGTAAGCACTGGGATTGCAAAAGGTTTGTTATTTAGAGCCCCAGGTTGCCTGGTATTCTTGGTTGTTTCTCACTTTGTGCCAAAGTGCTTAACATTCTAGCATCAATACCTGCCCACTATGGGCTCACTCCAAAAGCCCAAAGATATGAAGGTTTGTCGAGTAGGAGAAAGCTGTTACTGCATAGCCAACAGAAATGTTCAGGAAAGTTATGAGCCAGGCCGTCTAAAACAATAATGCTTAATTTACAGATTGTGAGATTAAAACCTTATATTTTAGCTGGGTAAAACCTTATATTTTAGCTGGACTGGACTCTCCTTTTCATTATACTTGATGTATGTTAAACTTAAAAAAAAAAAAAAGGAAACACAAACAATTAAAAAAAATAAAATATATGAAATATTTATATATTCATATACTTCTACCACATGGTTCACAAATGAATGTGAGATTTATAACAAAACCTCAAAATCTGGCAACACTTTTTTAAAAGAAAAGAGGAAAATGCTGAGGTAAACAAACAAACAAACAAAAACAACCCCCCCCAAAACAAAACAAAACAAAACAAAACAAAACAAAAACAAAAACAAAAAATGCTTACAGACATAACCTTGTAAAAAATTAAATAATAGTGAGCAGTTATGGTATTTGTAAAGATTAATCATTTCTGGTTGTCAGCATCTAATACCACTGATGTTTATGGCTGCTTTCTCAAAAAAATAAGAAAATAAGACTACCTATCATTATCTATCTTCCAGTAGCAAATATATGTTATCTTTCCTGTTTATCTTTAAACAAAGCTTTCTTACTCTACAGCCTATGACTGAAGTCAAATCCATAGCACCTGAGTATGATGAGTTTACTGGGAACTAACCAAAGGAATGGTAATTCAAAGCAGATGTTAACTGACACTGACTACATTGTTCTATCAGTGTGATGTGAAAAGGCACACAGTTAATTAGATGCATATTCTTATCTTATGACATGTTCTTAGATGTCTACAGCCTATAGTATTCTAAGGGCCTGCATTAAGTCACACAGATTGTTATGAAGGAGGAAAAAAAAGTACTTTCTTGATATAAGGTAGTACCATTTCACTTGTATAATTTTTGTATCTGCTGTCCTTCCTCTCTGTTGGGAACAGAAGCAAATTTCTATTCCTACCACATGGTTTGTTATCATTGCTTGTATAGTCAGCAAGTAGTTGCTTTGCCTGCAAATGGTCTATACTTCAGTCTCAGTCAGTTTTTAGGTTATTTTTCCAACATAAAATCTTAGGGTATGACTGTTGTACTCCCTGTTTTGTTTATTGACTCACTCACACTTAAAATACTTCCTTGGAGAAACTTTTTTTCAGTATATTAGTTCAAAGCAGATTGTAGTCAGATTGTTTTAACTAATGCAGTAATTAGTATGTGTGTTCAGATACAAGTACTAGATTTTTTTTGGTTTTACTATGTTTCTCACAGTTGCACAAGGTTTCTTTTTTTCTTTTTTTTTTTTCTTTCTTTTTTTTCTTTTTTTTTTCCTTCTCTCCATTTAACCATTTCTTAGTTTGTGTATAAATGATTTTGATCTCCTCTGAATGAGCCAATATAGGTGCAAATTGTATAAAAGGATAATAGAGCATACCTCTATTAAGACATGAAGTGCTGATTTGCAAAATTGATAAGAGACTGCAACTGATAGCAACAGACCTGATATTTCTGTAATTTCCCTACTGTCCTACTAGAGCTCTTCATCCCACCTAATTCTTCAAAGAAGAGATTCATCATTTCCTGAACATTCAGTGCTAGAGTGAGCATTGGACAGCTGCCCAGAGGTAATGTCTGCAACTCTGTCTGCAGAGAAGCATCTTTAAAAACAAAGCTATTTAGTGTTGTGAAATATTTCTAAGAGGTTGTTTGTTTTTCTGATTTTTTTTTTTTTTTTTACATGAATCACTGGAGACCAATCAGATAACAGAAGAGAGAGCCTTTTCATCTCTGGAAAACTCTTCAAAGAGGTGGATGGGAATTTAGCCACATGACTTCTTCATTGATGGAAGACATACAATTAGATCTAAGTATTACTTCACCAGTGGTTTTTGACCCTTGTCAGCTGTGGAGCTGTAAACATTTTCTGTGGAAAATCTAGTCTCTTTAGAAATTTCACACATATGGACAGTTCCGTGCATATATGTGTTTTCCATGTTTTTCCGTGTTTTTTATAATCAGCTGTCATGTTCGCATTAGAAACAGTATTTAGTTCACCTTAGCCATCTGCAGCCATTCATCAGAGGAAATTTATGAAAGTTTTCTCTCTGTCATAATCCTGTGTAGCTCACGTAGAATGGAAATAAAGTTTGATAATTTATCTGTAGATCTCAGCTTTCTTTAGCATTAAGAAAGTATGGGTTATAACAAATTTGCAACTCATATTTTTTTTTCTACATGACTCTAGACTTGTGTAGGAGAACATGTAGGACCTTATCCAAAATCTGTTGAAACTCCTGGGATTCCTTCCATCAAGGAAAGGTTTCTTGGCCCTTATGGTGGCATTGGGGGGTGGGGGGGGAGGGAAGAGAAAAAAAAAATGTTCTTCTTCACTTAGCCTTTCATTTCTTGACTATATTGTCTGTCCTCTGGCTACAGCTTCTATTGCTTTAAAGACTGTATTGTCTGTACTGACAATTGGACTTCACTGAAATCTTTCAGACACTGAAGGGGTCTTCTCACCAGCAGAGGAGAGCTGCAAAGTCTAGTCAGGGCTGCAGAGAAATCTTGCTGATTGGATGACTACATTAGGCACCTCTCCTGTAAATCAGCACTTATGGTGCCTTAACTTGTCATGGTTTCCCAGCAGAGAAGGGATTTCAGAGGTACTTGTTTCACCACAGACTTGTCTGTCATATATTGCATCTTCTCATGAGCCTGTAAGGGCTGACATAACCCAGAGTTAAATTGATCTTGTAGTTGGCAAAATGCACCTGGAAACTTCTGGATGAAAGTAATTCTCTGACACCAGCTCTAGCTACTGCACATAATTGATTCACTTATTCATAAAAAATTATCTAGTTGGAAGTATAGATGGAATGAATTTAGGTCATTTGGGATATAATTACTCAGACTGGTGTTTGGTCAGGAGACAGTAGTTAGCAGCACAAAACTTGAGAAAAATATTTGTGATGTTCAGATATTTCTTCTAATTGTGATACAGAAATTGCTGCTTCTCTAGTGAGTGTTTCAGGTGACTACACATCTGACATTCCCCTTATGATGCATTATAACCGTGTTTGTATTTTTACATTGCTAAGGGAAAAGATGGGTCAATCTACTTTTTATCACTGAAGGAAAAAAAAAATGAAATTGTGAATAGGTTGTGGCTAAAGGCGAGAAAGGAGGGGTAACTGGAATATAAACTCCTGCTGCAATGATTAAGAGATATGCCAAATGATGCATAGGTACTCCATGTATGGATGGACTTATTCTGGAGTGGCAGGACATAGCCATTTATCTGCACATAGAATATTTTTAGAGGCTAGGATCTGGAACACCTCAATACAGTCTTTCACCAGAAGCTGCCTGTACAACTACAGGCAAAGCAAATACTAACATCAAGATTTAGATTTTGCACAGAAGCCAGGCATGTAAAAATGAGGTGCTGTGTCATGGTGCTATTGCAGTTCTCAAGTCCGTTTTGTAGACCTGAGCCTTAATCTCTCTGTTCTATAGTATCTGACAGAATATAAGTATCTGTCCTGCCCTACGAAGAAGGTGCGGTGGGAGCAAGTGCCACAGGACGCTTAAGGTGCTCAGGTACCTCTATAAATATGGTGTTTAAGATGAGTGGATAAAAACAGTGTTTCATACAGGAAATCTGTTTAGTGTTCTGGACATTCCTTAATAACAGCTAACTGTACTCTGTGCTTTCTAGTAGTTGATCCATATACAGGATGAAAGCCTGGTCTGGCTGCCAGAAAACAGGATGGCATACATCTCATTTGACTCAGATGACAAAACATGAGGTGTTTTGTCCAGACTGAAGATTCTGTGTATAGTCAGGGCAGTGGGCGAGCACTTCCAGAAAAGCAGCCTGTACCATCCTAAAATGGGTGTCTGAGCCATAGGGGGCTGAGGACAGGCCCCCCCCCCCAGGAGCCTGTCTCTATTCACAGACTAGTGAGGAGGGTCTCTGGGTGGATGGCACAGTTAAGGCACCTCTCTGTCTGATGGCTAAGTAAGATTAGGTGAATCCCACTGTGGTCTCCCTCCAAGTGACAAAAGACTCTTAAGGAAAGTTGAGAGTTTAATCTTGCCTTGTGACCCACATGATATTAGGAGTATTAAAAACCTAGGTCCATAAAAATAATACATATATATATCCTTTAGCTTTTAGAATTGTTTGTTTAGGTGTCTGAAATAAACTGAATTCTGATAAATCCCGTTCCACTATAAATGAAAGGCTAAAGTAGTTAATATATCTTTAAATCAGCCAGACAGCAAGTCATACACCTCCTGTGTCAGCTAAATAATTAAAGTTTGATCTGTGAAACCTTACTTACCTGTAATGAGCTACCTGTGGTTAAGAGAGAAAACAACAACAAGAAGACCTCAATGCATGGTTGTTTTAACTTGAAACTTGACTATTTTTGCCTAAGCTGAAACAAAATCAAATGAAGCAAATACAAAACCCTCTCCTGTTCCAGAGTCATGCATAGCATTAAATTGTCACTTCTGCTGTGATCTGAAACCAGGAAAGGAGTGTGTTGATGCTGAATTGACTCAGGAGAAAACCTGTTTAAGGCTTGCTCATTTGTTTCAATTTCAATGCTGTAACATTTCTTCAACTCTGGGAAACCACGACAGGTTTCTCCAAAGCAGAAATCCTGAAATGTATGTCACAGCTTGAGTTGTCTGAAGGACTATTTCAGACAGCTAACAACTTGGACAAATCATGAAGGCTTATTGGCCATCACTGGAGTGAAGCATGGACCATACTATGATTCCAGTTGTGAGAAACCTTGTGCACTCACGAGGTATGTTGCAGTCTTAGCCACAACAGATTTTATACACTGCTACTCATCCACATATTTTGTAACCCTTTCATATCTCTATTGACAAAATATGTCAAATTTCACATTTAATATTAACCTAATTAATTACTTGAATATTACAATAAAATTATCCCTTGATCTCTAGAAATGTAAGATGTGTGAAGCTTTTATCTATATTCCTGAAAAGACGGGGGGGGGAGGAAAGAAAAAAAGTGATGCAGATGGATCAATATAAACATATATGACAGTAGCTTGGAGCTGCATGCAGTAGCCTAAGTAAACAGAGTGACAGAATGACTTTTCAAAACAAGCTTGTCATGTTTATGCTTGTTATCAGTTCTCCTGACAACCATTTTCCCATCAGCTAACTACAGACTTAATTAGGGCATTAACACAGTCCTGCCCCCATGCCTCCTGCCTTTCCCCAGCTTAGCACTGGGCCATTACTGGTGAAAAAGAAAGCAAGCCAGCAAACAGGAAAGAGAGAGAGAAAAAGGAAGGCAGGAAAGAAGAGGGATAGAGAGAGAGTGAGAGAACAAGATTTTGGTTGCATTACACAGGGTGGAAGGAAAACAAGCAGTGCTTTTCTACATTTTGTACCACATTTTTGCAAAACGAATAGTTCATGGGAGCAGGCAGGCCAGACCACACCACTGAAAGAAACCAGACTCATTCTGTGATTTCCACTTGTAGATGCCTGAAAATGCAAAAAACGCGAATTCCGTCATCATCTGTTAAGATAAATCCCTCACGCAGAGGGACTGTTCTATGTAAGGAAGATCCAAAGATCCTATGCACAAGACAACATACCAAGTTGTAAGGTACCTTTGTCAGACTATTTTTTTTTTGAGGTAGAGATTAATTACTCACCTGGGGCTTGCACAATACCCTCACTTTAATTAAAAAAACAGAGCACATTTTGCAGTATCCGGTCCCTATGAATAGTTCCCATGTATCATACCCAGACTAGAGCTCCATGTCTTACAGTTACCAATAGTAACTGGAGTAACCCTGAGCATATTCATCACAATGTTATTCTTCATAATGACAGTTTTACATACAGTACTACTTTTAACCCTTCATGTTTTTGTAACTAGTAAAAGACTTGAATTTTCTGGTTTTCATTATTTCAACACTGTCCTGACATATATTTTCTCTAGTATAGCTGGTAGACCATGTCTTTGGTATCAAGGAATTTTGCTTCACTAGTCTTTCCCTCATTCACTACCATAAGACTATCTCAATCAAGATATTAATTGTAGTTTATTACCTCTGACCTGTCAGAACTGCCCAATCAGTACAAGTGTTGGTGAATTTGGACCTTTTTTTTTTTTCTTTTTTTTCTTCTTCTTCCCCCTCAATTGTGTTACTGATGTGAACGGCTGATGGCTAATGATGTAGCATTCTATTGGATGCTCTGGATGAGGAAAGCCCAGACGGTGGTACCCAGACCAAAGACTAAAATATATAGATATCTCCTGCAGTGTGTATGAGCAAATGCTATATCCACTGTTTGGCTTCCAGGAAAATTAATAAAATACATTCCATCTGAGTAACCAGTAGGTGTTAAACAGTAGGTATTTGAAGCCCAGGAGATTTTAAATCCACACACAAAATGACATGTTTCTAAGGAGATGTTAGAGGAGCTCTTGGAATGGCTGTTAATTCAGCCCAACTTTGAAACGATCTGAGTCTTCTGGAGAAGAAACAAGTAACCCTTCAAAAAAGGAAAGAGAACACCTGGATTATCTTAATTATGATGTAATCTATACATTTTTTGGTCTAGGAGAGAACAATTGAATGGGAAGTCTGAGTCTCCATTAAGATGGAGAATAACTAAACTAGTACCAATAAACATGTAGTATATAGAAAATAAAGCTTGTTATTACTGCTTAGGCCAGTTCACTTGACATAGATAATAGCATCAATATAATATGTTTCTGTAAAATGTTTGAGTGGTATTCAATGGCTTTATGTTTTAAAAACTAGGTGAAATAAAATCAATGTGGCATGTATTACAGGAACTAAAATTTGGAGACATATCAAATCTCAAAATATAACTGTAAACAGGGAATGGATCATAAATGAACAGATGTGTTTCTAGCCAGGTTCTGAAGAGATCACTGTTTTTCCAACAATATTTAATGTTTTTTTTTTTTTTTTTTTTTTTTTTTTTTAAGAACCTGGAAAGAAAAAAACAATTACTGATTCAGCTTACAAAAGGTACATGGATTAAGGAAAAAATTATAAATTTAAAAGAGATCTAGTTACATGTTGCTTAAAAAAAAAAAGTCAACATGTGATTTAATTAGACCAAATAGGAAAA